GAGAGGTGGTAGAGAGGAGTAATAAGCATGTAGTACAAGAGGTGGTAGGCCTAGAGAGGAGAAACAAGCGTGTACGTGTACGTACAAGAGAAGGATTAGGATGTGAGAGATCAGAATGGGAGAAAAAGAGATGGACGGAGAGGTGGTATAGCTAGAGAGGAGAAACAAGCATGTACGTACAAGAGAAAGATTAGGATGTGAGAGATCAGAATGGAAGAAAAAGAGATGGACGGAGAGGTGGTATAGCTAGAGAGGAGAAACAAGCATGTACGTACAAGAGAAAGATTAGGATGTGAGAGATCAGAATGGAAGAAAAGGAGATGGAGGGAGAGGTGGTATAGCTAGAAAGGAGAAACAAGCGTATACGTACAAGAGAAAGATTATGATTTGTGAGGTCAGAATGGAAGAAAAAGAGATGTAGGGAGAGGTGGTATAGCTAGAGAGAAGAAACAAGCATGTACGTACAAGAGAAAGATTAAGATGTGAGAGATCGTAATGGAAGAAAACGAGATGTAGGGAGAGGTGGTATAGCTAGAGAGGAGAAACAAGCGTATACGTACAAGAGGAAGATTAGGATGTGAGAGATCAGAATGGAAGAAAAAGAGATGGAGGGAGAGGTGGTATAGCTAGAGAGGAGAAACAAGCGTATACGTACAAGAGGAAGATTAGGATGTGAGAGATCAGAATGGAAGAAAAAGAGATGGAGGGAGAGGTGGTATAGCTAGAGATGAGAAACAAGCATGTACGTACAAGAGAAAGATTAGGATGTGAGAGATCAGAATGGAAGAAAAAGAGATGGAGGGAGAGGTGGTATAGCTAGAGATGAGAAACAAGCATGTACGTACAAGAGAAAGATTAGGATGTGTGAGATCAGAATGAAAGAAAAGAAGATGGAGGGAGAGGTGGTATAGCTAGAGAGAAGAAACACGCATGTACGTACAAGAGAAAGATTAAGATGTGAGAGATCATAATGGAAGAAAACGAGATGGAGGGAGAGGTGGTATAGCTAGAGAGGAGAAACAAGCATGTACGTACAAGAGAAAGATTAGGATGTGTGAGATCAGAATGGAAGAAAAAGAGATGGAGGGAGAGGTGGTATAGCTAGAAAGGAGAAACAAGCATGTCCGTACAAGAGAAAGATTAGGATGTGTGAGATCAGAATGGAAGAAAAAGAGATGGAGGGAGAGGTGGTATAGCTAGAGATGAGAAACAAGCGTGTACGTACAAGAGAAAGATTAGGATGTGAGAGATTATAATGGAAGAAAAAGAGATGGAGGGAGAGGTGGTATAGCTAGAGAGGAGAAACAAGCGTGTACGTACAAGAGAAAGATTAGGATGTGAGAGATCAGAATGGAAGAAAAAGAGATGGACGGAGAGGTAGTATAGCTAGAGAGGAGAAACAAGCATGTACGTACAAGAGAAAGATTAGGATGTGAGAGATTATAATGGAAGAAAAAGAGATGGAGGGAGAGGTGGTATAGCTAGAGAGGAGAAACAAGCGTGTACGTACAAGAGAAAGATTAGGATGTGAGAGATCAGAATGGAAGAAAAAGAGATGGACGGAGAGGTGGTATAGCTAGAGAGGAGAAACAAGCATGTACGTACAAGAGAAAGATTAGGATGTGAGAGATCAGAATGGAAGAAAAAGAGATGGACGGAGAGGTGGTATAGCTAGAAAGGAGAAACAAGCGTGTACGTACAAGAGAAAGATTAAGATGTGAGAGATCAGAATGGAAGAAAAAGAGATGGAGGGAGAGGTGGTATAGCTAGAGATGAGAAACAAGCGTGTACGTACAAGAGAAAGATTAGGATGTGAGAGATCAGAATGGAAGAAAAAGAGATGGAGGGAGAGGTGGTATAGCTAGAGAGGAGAAACAAGCATGTACGTACAAGAGAAAGATTAGGATGTGAGAGATCAGAATGGAAGAAAAAGAGATGGAGGGAGAGGTGGTATAGCTAGAGATGAGAAACAAGCGTGTACGTACAAGAGAAAGATTAGGATGTGAGAGATTATAATGGAAGAAAAAGAGATGGAGGGAGAGGTGGTATACCTATAGAGGAGAAACAAGCATGTACGTACAAGAGAAAGATTAGGATGTGTGAGATCAGAATGGAAGAAAAAGAGATGGAGGGAGAGGTGGTATAGCTAGAGATGAGAAACAAGCGTGTACGTACAAGAGAAAGATTAGGATGTGAGAGATCAGAATGGAAGAAAAAGAGATGGAGGGAGAGGTGGTATAGCTAGAGAGGAGAAACAAGCATGTACGTACAAGAGAAAGATTAGGATGTGAGAGATCAGAATGGAAGAAAAAGAGATGGAGGGAGAGGTGGTATAGCTAGAGATGAGAAACAAGCGTGTACGTACAAGAGAAAGATTAAGATGTGAGAGATCAGAATGGCAGAAAAAGAGATGGAGGGAGAGGTGGTATAGCTAGAGATGAGAAACAAGCGTGTACGTACAAGAGAAAGATTAGGATGTGAGAGATCAGAATGGAAGAAAAAGAGATGGAGGGAGAGGTGGTATAGCTAGAGAGGAGAAACAAGCATGTACGTACAAGAGAAAGATTAGGATGTGAGAGATCAGAATGGAAGAAAAAGAGATGGAGGGAGAGGTGGTATAGCTAGAGATGAGAAACAAGCGTGTACGTACAAGAGAAAGATTAGGATGTGAGAGATTATAATGGAAGAAAAAGAGATGGAGGGAGAGGTGGTATACCTATAGATGAGAAACAAGCGTGTACGTACAAGAGAAAGATTATGATGTGTGAGATCAGAATAGAAGAAAAAGAGATGGAGGGAGAGGTGGTATACCTATAGAGGAGAAACAAGCATGTACGTACAAGAGAAAGATTAGGATGTGTGAGATCAGAATAGAAGAAAAAGAGATGGAGGGAGAGGTGGTATACCTATAGAGGAGAAACAAGCGTGTACGTACAAGAGAAAGATTAGGATGTGTGAGATCAGAATGGAAGAAAAATAGATGGAGGAAAGGAAATAGTATAGTATAGTATTTATTTTCCGTTTTAAAAACAAACATTTAATACAAGTATATACATAACGTCAATAAAACGGCTGGATAGCCCATATTCAGCTGTGTCAGGCACGACACAGCTGGTCTTCCATGGGGTCCAGAATTCATATACATAAATAAATATAAAACATGACATGTGATTATTTACTAAATTAAAGGATATAAAGAAGGTACAATACACAATTATAGATGCTTTAACTCTACAAAAAGGTAGTTGTGTGAAAGGACTGCGAAAGTCCCCCTCCTCCCCCCCCCCCCCCCCCCTCCCGATACAGAGCATACAATATTCCGAGTCTTGAAAAGGTCAATTTATTTTCAAGGTCTGGGTGTTTGAGCATTTGAGTGGAACAACGTTAATTCGCGCTTTAAATTATTCAGAGTGGAGGTATTTCTTACAATTACAGGGAGGTTATCATAAGCAATAGCTCGTCTATACTTAAAATGTCTTTTAAAAAAATCAGTATTAGGCTTAGGTATACAGTCTTCCGCCAAAGCGTAAGTGGTATTCGTGCACATAGATACTAAAAAGGTCTGAAATGTAAACAGGGGTCATCTCATGATTTAAACATATAAGTTAGCAAATGCTGATTTCTCCTGTCGTGTAACGATTCCCAGTTAAGGGCATTGTGAATTTCTGAATTGGGTATATGAGAGTCACTATTGATATGTAAAATCAAACGCCCAGCACGATTTTGGAGCTTTTGTAATATTTCAGTTAAATATTTACAGACCGAACCATATACAACATCTCCGTAGTCGAAGTGGGGAAGAACAACTGCATTATATACTAGTTTTTAATATAGATTCATTCAAGGTGCTTCTTAATCTACCAAGAAAGCTTACCATTTGTCCTATTTTGTCACCATCTTATCAGTGTGAATGTTCCATTTAATTTTCTCATCACAAATGACACCTAAGTACTTGACATTTTCCACTTGTTGAATTTTGGTCTTACAGAGTGTGACTTTTAAGTTTTTTCTTTTGACAGCATGTATATCGACTACCAATTAGCATACAAACTGTGTATTCAAAATTTACACTTAATCTATTTTCCTTCATCCACTGGTGGAGAAGAAGTAGGTCACTGTTCAGAGTTGACTAAATTTGGCGTACTGAGGTATCGGAGGAATATATTACTGTGTCGTCTGCATATAACTTTAGACTGCTTAATTTGATATATTTGGCAAGATCGTTAACGTATATATTAAATAAGAGGGGCCCTAAAAGTGACCCTTGTGGGACCCCGCATGATATGAATTTGGAAGATGAAAGAGAATGATTTACAGGGGCTTTACATGTTACAAAAAAGGATAAGATGAAGGAAGCAAGTTATTATTCGTAATACACCATTATGAACTTCCTCACAATGTACTTAGATATTTCACCAAATTGAGTTCCAATGTGCACATCATATCCTGGCCACAATAAATTACAGATATTAGGTACGCATATATATACGAGTATGGCATAAACCATACGTGAATACGGTGAATTATACAAATACGTAATTATGACAGTGTTATGGGAACCAAGACATATTTACGAGTGGGAATTCCCACCCCTATGGGAGAAAAAAATCATACTCATTTAACCTGTTATAACGAGAGGGATTGTTGGGCGTGGGTGCACCTGTTCCGTTAAACATAATAGTACTATCCTTTTGTTATGAACGTCAGTGGGAATTCCCACTCGACATAAAAGAAAGGTAATATATACAACTGCATAGCTGAATAAATTATTATCATACACCTCATATTCAGCAGGATGGTCGCCCGTGCCTGTTTGAGCTGAGAGAAGCAATTTCTAAAGTGTACACTAATAATGGCGGTTTCTGCTGTACCTATGCAATCTGTCCGTGTTGTAAAATCAGCTACTTGTGGACGAAAGTTGGTCTCCACTTCAGGATTTGCGCCTGGACAATGTATCCTTGAAGAATTGCCATATGTATATACTGTGTACGACGACAAAAGGGGACTTAACTGTGATTTTTGCCTCAAACAATGGTATTGATTTTTAATTTTTATTAAAATGTGAAAGTAAAACGGGATAGGGCCTTTATGACATAATTTAGGGGTCCTCTACAGATTGAAATCCATGTGCATTCTTCTTATATATATATATTTTTGGGGCCAATTTGGTTAATTTCACTGAGTGTAGAATACATTAATTTCACTTGAATGATAGAATTAGTAAAGAGAATTAATAAAATTTATCAAATGCTATGTCTATAATTGCATTACACATCGTAATTGTTATCATGATAATAGTATAAATCTAATATAGGAATCTTATAATGATTAAAGTTATCGTTATTATGCTAACTTTTGAGATAAAAGTAAGCATTACTTTATCGATTTGCTCAAAAGTCAAAAGTGGTAAATATGAATTGTTTAAAGTTTGTTACTTTTAGTAATTAAGTTCCTCCTCTTGTATTTTCATTAATTTGTTTGGATCTAGTACACTACTGCATTATGATACATTTTAATGACATTCGTTCAGGTTTGACACTGTTTTGATTATTTCAAGAATGATAATGATAATAATAATAATGATAATAAAAACGTTGCTTATAAGGCGCTTACCACCGAAGTCTCTAAGCGCTAGAATCAAGTCAACTCTAAATCTCATCTTACTTTCAGTTCAACTCTAAAGAGGTGTACCAGATGCAGTTGTGTAAGCTACTGCAATAAATCATGTCAGGTAAAAACAAATCTTTTGTTTTGGTTCGCTCCTATATAAACCCATTGCCTATATTGAACAAGGAAAACGCTCTCGGCGGTCTTGCCTGCACTACGCAATTTGATATGATGAAAAATTGAGGTTGGGACGTAAGACAGGGTGGCCCATTAGCAGGCCCCCTCCCCCTCACAAAACAATGAAATCCTCTGAATATAATCAGCATTTTAAAGTGTATATTGGCTAAGAATCATCAAAAGAATTATTTACTAAAATCTGTATCAAGATTTATAACTTTAATGGAATATGAACAAATATTAAAAATGTATTTATTAATTCTCATATTGAGTAGTGAAAACCTAATCCAAGTCTACTGACCATAATTGACATGTGACCTGGACTTTGTGACCTAGAATTTGCGTCATCTGATTTGTGATATTTGATTACCCTCGTGTACAAGTTTCATGGAATTTGAACAAACGCTTTTGAAATCATGTTAAAAAGTCAAAATCTTGATGTTGATACCAGAAGAGAGTCTAAGTTTGCAGACCATAAATTACATTTGACCTTGACTTTGCCACCTAAAAGACTAATTACATGATTGATGATACTTAATAACCTCTATGTTCTAATTTAAAATTCTAAATTTGAGATATGAATGTATACTTTCAAAATTATGATAAATATTTAAAATCGTAACCTTTTGTTGAGTTTTGATGTTGATGGCACAACGTAGTCTAAGTTTGTTGACCTGAAATGACCTTTGACCTTAACTTAGTGACCTCATATTCTATACACGTGATTGGAGATACTTTATAACCATTTTTTCTAAGTTTCATCGAATAAGAACTTATACTTCCAAAATAATATTACAAATTCAAAAACTTAACCTGAGGTTAAGTTTTCGATGATGATGCCAAAACAAAATCCAAGTCTGTTGACCTGAAATGACCTTTGATCTTAATGTTGTGACCTGAAATTCTACTCACATGATTGGGGATGCTTGATAAACCTTTGGTTTAAGTTTAATTGAATAAGGACTTATACTTTCAAAATTATACTAACATTTCAAATGTTGACGCCGTCACCGGAAAAGCGGCGCCTATGTTTCGCTTTTTGCTACTCAGGCGAGACAAAAATGAATGATTCCTGAATTAAGTCTATGGAAATAGAAATCGAGTCGAGAGTCAAACAAACCGTTATTCATGGATATTTGTTTAAAAGTTAAATCTTTTCTTTTTTTAAATGTGTATAGATTGGTACTTTGTTTAAGAGATGGATCTATATTATTCCAAAATACTGGACCGGTGTAAATAATTGTTTTGTGTGCGAAAGCTGTTCTCATTCGAGGAGTGTGGAAGTGGTTCGCTGTCTAGTAAGGTATGAATATATTTTGTTACTTTTTTGAGAAATGGAGGAAATCGGGAAAAGGTAACTCATTAGTTGGAACATAAAGAAACCGAGGTACCAAGAATACGAATCATTAATTTTAAGAATTTTGTCTTTTAAAGAAGCTTGGCGAAGAAATTTCACATAATCACTAAAAATGGGCAAATTATACATGTCCGGATAGCGTAGACCAATTTGAACACACATTCTGCTCTAAAGTCTTGTAAATATAAATGAAACGCGGTAAGAAGCTTTTTACAAGAACCTTCTAAAACTTCTATTCGTGGCTTGAACACTTTGTTCGCGCAGTAGGCCGATTATGACGTCACTGGTTGGGCACGATCGCAATTCTAGGCCTCAAGCTCGCCTCTCGCACAGCTCGCGTGCGGTATTTTGCATAGGCCTATACGTATACATTATCCAGACTTTGCATGCTTCATATCCTGACCAGAAAGTGCAGTAACAATCTCTAGAAATTATGTAATTACATATAATATTAAGGAAATTTATGTTATATAATACAAGGGGTGAATCGTGCAATTCGATTTGTCCAAATACCCTGTGTAATTTGCTGAGATGTTTTGCATTTGTTCGGTCATCATGCCTTGCCGTGATACTGATAGTGATAGTGTTGCTGTAGATTATATACAGAGACCATAATGATGAGCGTCCCTTTGCATTTTTATGTCCTGCAGCTGCAGTTCTATTTATGAATGGTGCATATTTGTAATTGATTTTCGCCAAATATAATCTCACATCTAATCGTCTTTGTTTTGTTATACGTGAAATTTGCTAAAAAGCCCTAAACATCCCGAAAAATTAGAAAATGTCTCACCTTGTCACCCCAGTGACAAGGTGCATGACAGATCGATCGCCAGTTGAGCGGGGCCGGGGGAGCTGAGCGGCGGCTGGCAGCTCAGCCACCTCGTGCTGATATGCTATCATTTGACCTGCACCAGCATCGACGCAGTCTTCTCCGAATCGTTCTCTTTTTTCCATCCTTCCTACACCCCCATCATCATCGTCGTCACTATCAATACCAGTACCAGTGTCACTAGTTGTGGAGCTGTGCTCATCAACTTCGAATTCTAAATCGAGTAAAACCTCTTCTTCGAGCTCGGACATTTTGATCAGATATTTAGCGTTCGAGTGGCATTTGTATACTATAATACATGCAGGCGAGAGTTGTGTGAGAGCTTTTGGGAGCACTCTCGCGCTCATTTGCCCAACCTCATACGTCACAAATCGTACGTCATAATAGCGGGCCAATCAAGGGTTGAAAAATCGGGTAGTAATTTCACTTTTAATAGCAGATAAGTTAATTCTGTAACAATTTTTGATAACTAAATATGAACCATTAAAAAGGTTGTAACACTAACTTTGCAATGATACCAACATTATTAAGGTTAAAAGCCTTTTGAAACCTTCGCTCAGCTACTTTAAAAATAAGTGGTTAGTGTGGGAACGAAAGTGGACATTATAGATTATTCTTAATGCACACTTCCTGGCCATTCAATGTAGCGACATTACTATTATTTTTTTGTGTGCCTCTAAAGAGGTGTTTATTTACATTCAAACATCAAAATAAAGTTGTGAGAAAAAATACAATTGACGCACAATGTTATCAATAAAATCACATATTGTTTTTCTCAACTATATAATATTTTCTTCTAAAGTGCTTGTAACAGTTTCTTTGGCAATCTTTGGTCTGGCTTTTTAAGCTCCTGATTTACAACAATTCTGTTTTTTATTTCTCTTTCAAATAGGTATCTTAGTTTGAAACGGTTTTCATTAAATCCATACTTATTTCGGTTGACTAACATTTTGTATATACACCAGAATTTGATCGTTGTTACAACGTCTATCTCGCTATCAATATTAATCTTAAGTAAACAGGAGATATCCATGACAAAATCAATATTAAAAGTGTACTTTACAACATGTTTGATATAATCAAAGAAATTCTTATTCTGTTCACATTCGATAAACACATGCACTATGTCCTCTATGACATGGCACTTGTGACAGTATCTGTCGTCTGTTAATCTCCATTTGTAAAGATTGTTTTTAACAGGTAGTATGTTGTAACTCCCTTAAGCGATGTTCCCTTGTATATGTTAAATTCCTTTTGAACACGGAACACCAGTCAATATTTCTTTGTAGTATATTTTCCCGAAAGAGACAGCACCTGTTGTTGTTGAATGTATGTTTAAAAGATATCAGGTTGTAGAAACGTTTGCTGCTCACGTCACTGATAGGTAAAGACACTCTTCCAAATTTAAACTAAGGAATTTCAAGAGGGTGATTATAATAGACTGGTTTAGTTTCTTCCTTGGTAAGACCACTGAACCATATCTTTGGAATAGCTTTCTTCAATTTAGTATAATCGAATAAGAGATTTTTCTTGCTTTTTTGTCTCAAGGCGTACTGACAGATCTTTAATAGACAAAAAATGTCTTTCTTTAAAGAGGTCCTTTAGATAAATTATTCCACAACCAAACCAATCTGCATAAAACAAAGACTTCGTATTGAAAACAATATCCTTGTTATGCCATACTATTTGCCTATGAAAAAAAGTATCTTGTACGGAATAATTTTCACTACAAGTAAAACCTTTCACATAATTCCAGGCTTGTAATATTTCCAGATAGAAATCAGGGAGTTGCAATTTCTGGACATCGAATAATTTATGGTCATAGTTACAGTTTAACAGAATATTTACACCACCGAGCAAATCAAATCAATAATTACACATATCGTTCCATGGACCTTTACTGTCATCCAATCATCTACCAAGCCATCTTAAACGAAAACTCAGTATCTGTTTCTCAGTATTAACCAGACGTAATCCCCCTTGGCTATAATCTTGAGTAAGGATGGATCTTTTTACCTTGTCAATTTTGGATTTCCAAATAAAATTGAAAACTAATTTATTCAATTTTTTCAGACACTTTGGTGGAATCGTGTCTACCATCATTAAATGAACTGATATACTTAAAGCCAGTGATTTAATAACAACGATTCTTCCAAATATTGTAAGGTTTATGCTTCTCCAGTTATCCAGGAGTTTCTGTAGTTTGGTCAATTTATTTTCTCAACTCAATTTTGTAGCATGATATAAATCTGCAGATATAAAATACCCTAAGTACTGTACAGGTTCTGTTGACCAACAAAGCTCAAGGTCATGGTTGATTGAAATTAATGGTCATTGCAGGAACTATGCAAAAATAATCATCAGAAATAATCCATCAATCCTGATATGTCTATACTTCTACTAAAAGTTAAATGAAGTGATTTTTACACGTAATTATGATTTAAAAAGTATTTAAGATGTCGAGTATTTTTAAAGTGAACCGCTAACATTGTTGAATGTTGATAAACAAAATGCGTATTTTTTTGTATTTTGAATTTTTCCAAATGTTTTCCATGAAAATAAGACAAAAATCAGACTCTTAAAAATATGTCAACACTTAAATGAATGGTATATAAAGCCTATTCATTTGTTTGTGACGATTTACATTCACCTAAAATTTATTCAAAATAATGATATAGATCAGTTTTTCCCAATTTAATTGCGGTCAAGCAACACTCAAACTTTCAGAGTATCTTTAATTGTACATCTAGCATTAAAGTCACTACATTAGCACCATTTTCTCTCATCTGAACAATGTTACCACGTCCCATTAATGGCTGTTGGTAGACTCAATTAGATTGTCGTTGGGTACGGCTTACATTTTAATTTTTATGTTTGTACTCCGTGCAGCAAGGAGACTGGGCAAGATGTCACAAGCAAGACTGCAAAACACTGAAGAGAATATATCCCTTGCCACACTCATACTCACTTCAGCTTCTGTCTCAAATCATCCGGAAGCAAAGAAAGTCAGCTCCATGTACTCAGGATGATGAGGATTGTTTCCCAACCACCGTAGACCAGTTGGAATCCCATCATGAAAAGCTGAGTGATACAAAAAGGGATGAATTTAAGAGCTTGTTGCTTTTGTTGAAGTTTTGCGGAGAGGATGTCTTACCTGAGCCAAGCAGCTTGTTGAAGATGTATGGGGCGATCCAATGCAATGAATTCTCAATAATGGATAATGATCTGAATGGCATTGCATTTGCGATATACTTGAGGTGATTTATGTTACTATGATTGATAATTGTTTTATTGACTCTAAGAACGAATGTATATGCTTGTAAGTAAATAAGCAGGGGACCGACAGCTTTAAGTCCTCTCGAAGAGATTTGGTAATGAGGATTAAAGGGCAATTAAGTCCACTCCAATAATAACGTACTTTCAATAGAAGCAGAAAAATCAGACAAACCAATCAAAAAAAGTTTTAGCAAAATCTGATAACAAATAAGAAACTAAAAAGTTTTGAATTTGTAATGACATGAAAAACTTTGAAAATCACAGGACACATTGGCAACTCACTCATGAGTCTGTGACGTCATTACCTCACTTTATCCCCAAGTTGTTTTCTTTATATTGATAATATAAATTTCCAATTTTCCCCCTAAAAATCTGTTTCCTCACACAAGCATCCAAGTTATATTGATACCCTATGCCTGATATGTTTTCATGTGGATGCAATAATATAGAGTAATTTTTCTTATTCTGTTAAATCGTAAAAAATGTGAATTTTAATACCATTTATACGAAACTGATAATTATGAATATACAGTATTCCGAAATAGTATCAATATTTCAAAATTCGTAAAAGATTGTGAAATGTCATGCATGCAATATGATACAATTCATATAACCTGGGCAAAGGCGTGGGGAAATCAGTCCTTGGGGATAAAAATAAGAAGAAATTAATGGGATAAAAATATATCAAGTAACTGATAATTAGTGAGGCAATGACGTCACAAAGTGCATAACCAATTTGGCAATTTGTCTAGTTATTTACATTTTTTCCATGGTTTTTCATACTTTTTAAAGAATTCATAACTTCCTTATTAGTAATCCAATTTTCCTTAAACTTTTGTTGCTCTGTCTCTACTGTTTTTCTGCATCTCTTGAAAGCAAGTTATTTTTGGAGTGGACTAAGCCTTTAATACCTTACCAAGAGGCACAAGCACATTGACCTGGTTTCGAACTTGGGACCTCTCGGTTACCAGACCACTGCTCCACCACTGAGCCGGTGCACCTCTTTTGATCTATTTCTTGGTGTATGACAAGTAATCAGGAGCACTTCCTGATAGGATTTATCTGAAAAAAGTGATGTGTCCATTTTAGAATTCCAAAAGGGAAACAAAAATGTGATAAAAGTTCCACTTTTCAGCAAGCTCTTTCATTAAAATTTAGAACTGTATAGGAATACAAATGTTGTTTAAATAAATGATTGTATGTTGTACTTGTATGTTAAGCATGATTAAATTAGCATAATATACTAGTACCTTTTCTCTCCCATTCCCATATATTTATTTTCTTGTTTATGTAGAGGTGCCATGGTCGAGTGGTTAAGTCGCCGGACTGTCGATCACAAGGTCCGCAGTTTGAGACCCGCTATGGCACTAATGTCCTTTCGCAAGACATTGATTTACATTTGCCACACTCAACCATGGTGATGTAAATGGGTACCTGGCAGGAATTAATTCTTTGAAATGCTAGAGCGCCGTAATGGCAGCACAGCTAAAGCCGGGGTAATAATCTCCAAGTTTGGAAGCGCTTAGTGATTGTAATAAGCACTATATACAAACTGAATATCATTATTATTATTGTTATTAAATAAATGTGTCATTGATTATGTCTCTATTTTAACTGTTCCTGTTTTTAAGAGCATCCATGGCGAACCATTCCTGTGATTATAACTGTATAGTGGTGTTTGATGAGAGGAAACTTCAACTCAGGACCATTAAAGATGTCAAAGACGGAGAAGAGGCAAGACCACATATTTTATTCTGAAATTATACCACTGGAAACTCCAACATTTATGAAGAACTGCTGTAATTCCTCTTTAGATATTTGTCACAAATTTGGAAGATCAAAATAGTCGGCATCCATAAATGTGCTGGTAAGTCTAGTCATATGAAAATGAATCGAGTAAATCTATGACCTTGAAAAACATGATGATTTTTAATTGTACATGTACTATAAAAATAATATGTGCTTTAATTACATGTATAATTTAAGATCCTAACATCTTGTTTTCGTTGGTTTAGTGTACAATCAGCTATGTAGATGTCATCAACCCAGCTAAAGAGAGACAGGCTAAGCTGGAAGAGGAATATCACTTCACCTGCAAGTGTGTGAAATGCGTTGAAGAAATCAATGTGAGTCTAAACTTTATAGTTTCGTTCTTTGTTTAACTATTCTCAAATGTTGCAAAAGATCCTGAAAATAAAATTCCAGTTGTGTACGGTTGGTGGTATAGATAGTTTTTTTTAAACTAACATCTTTTAACTTGAACTGTATTAATGGCTCGGGATAATATCTGGGGTTGCATAAATGAGTGTGCACCATTATAACCAGGGAAGTGAAAGAGAAGGAGTGGAATCAAGCCTCTTTACTTTGATCCCATGTTCCAAGCCGCCGAAAAAAGCACATGAAATATCAGTATTTAGAATTCCTACATCAGAACATGGTATCCCAGCAACTGTTCGCTGTCCCTTTCAATGATTTCTCATCAATTGTTCAATGTGTAATGAGTAGAACAAGTGAACACACACTTACAAGTTTATAGTTTACACTGAAATTTTGCTGGTAATTTAATATTTTGTAATAAACGTGAAACTGGTGCCTGGCCTCTGAAGTTCCCCTCAGTGGGAGAGCGGCTCAGAGCATGGAACTTCAAAGCCAAGTGGAATGTTACACATCCCATCGTTACGCTTTAGAACTCATTAATGCGTTTGAGTAAATTACATGAGTTTCAGCTCCTTTCTTTCACCTTCCTGATTATAACTTCCAATTTTCAAAGTAGTGAAACAATGTATTGGGCAACAATAAGATCCACGTACTGCTTTACTTTCTACTATCACTCAAATTTGAAATAATGATATCACATTCAAGTACCCTATGCTCGTGCATACATTAGCCAAGACAGTTGATACCTCCATGGATCTATTCCCAGTAATGCACTACCAGTAGATAATAAGTGATTTCGAAAGTCCATATAGATATTGTTGCACATAACTTGCAATATATGCATTTCAGTACAAAATAATAAAAAACAAAATATTTATTTATTATTTATTCGACACTTTCAAGAAATATAACAACAATGCAATATAATCATAGGTGATTACAGAATTAGAAAGACAAAGGTCATACGAATACACATTTTTGTAGCAATCTTCTGAGCGCAAAAGATGGCGGACAGGCAAGAAGAGAGCAAACTTAATCACTGCCCGTAATGGTCCCTCCGCCCAACCAACTGATGCACTCAGAAGACTGGTAAAAATATAGCATAAGGACAAATAAAGAGAGTAACAAATCAAGGATAAACAATAAGAAAATAAAGAAAGGAGAGGAACGAGCAAATTAACGCCAAAATGGAAATTAAGTACACATATATTATAACATATTAGAAAATTCACAAACACAATAACATAATAGCATTTTGAAAATTCCTTCGTCAGGTTTATACAATGAGGTCAACCTGATGCACTGAGAGAGTAACAAATCAAGGGTAAACAATAAATTTTTAAAAAAAAGAGAAGAGAGGCACAAGCAAATGCAACGCCAATATCGAAATTAAGTACACCTTAAATATTATATTGTGAAGCTAATTTTTGTTTACATTATGATTAAATGTTTTCTGTATATTTCAGGCTTCGGGTCCAGTAGATGATGGTTTAGGTGAATTAGAGCTCCAAAGTCTGATGAAATCCTCAGAGCAAATACAGGATGCAGCGAAGTCACAAGATATCCTTTTTTTTGCCATTTAAAGTTTATCTAGAAAATGACTATTTACACTGTGTTACCATATAACCTGTCAATGTCAATAAGTTGAAATACCTGAAGGAATCTAGTCAATGACTGTTTTCTCATTATGTGTTTGTTGTCGTTATCATAGAGTTATTAGGTCGCTTTTTTATTTGCACAATTTACATTCTACAAATACCTTTCATTGTAATCTATTTTTTCTCTCTTCAGTGCTCTCCTTTTCCCTTTTTTCTCCTTGTCTGTGTGTTTCTGTCTCTCTCTCTCCTTAATCCTTTGCTCTATGCTCCCAACTCACTGACCCCATGTTAGTCTTCTCATTTTCTCTATATATACATTCTTCCAAGTTCTTTGTCCCAATCTCGAATAGTTTTCATTGAATGGGTTTAATCTTTCTTAATAGTGATATTTAGATTGTGCCAAAGTGTTACAGCTCTGTGTACCCTACCTGAAGCCGATGGACACCTCTAGCAGTATTCCACTCAATCATTATCTCCTGGTGAGGGTCAGACATAGAGCACTTATTGCATACATGAACTTACAAGAATGGGAGAAAGCTGCTGAGATTGGACAGCTGATCACAGAGCATTACAGGTAAGACTAGGTTCATTATACTCGAGTATAATGAACCTAGTCTCATTATACACATTACACAGAACAATAAGTGCTATTTAGATACATGATCTTTTTTTTTTCGTTAAAAAAAAATAACGAACAGACCATAAATGGTATCTTTTATAAAGCTTTTATAAATACCGACCAGACTGAGGAAGTGGCAGCAGATCTTCACCCTAATATGGCTTGATAACATATGGCGCTTGGCGTTTTGTGGGTAAACACTTGCAAGAATACTAAGGAATAAGATACGGGTGGATGCCATGCACTTGTAATTGTGCAAGGGGGTAATTTTCTTGGGGGGGGGGGGTGATTGTCCTAGAACCCACCGTACAGTTAACAAAACCATATTGTTATGGCTGAATGTGTATGTTATTTGATTTAGATATCACTATGGACCGTACAGTCACAATTGGGGGATGCACCTCCTGGTAATGGGTAAACTACTGCTCGACCTGGAGAGATTTCAAGTGGCTAGAAGATATATCACAGAGGTAACTAACTATATTTCCTAATTGATTGGACTGAATTTAAATGTAGACTACAATATTATGATTATGGTGGATGTTTTCATTGGTAATGAACTTTTCTTTTGGAGTTTTTCATTCAGTTGTTTTGACAACTTTCGACTTTTATTTGAATAGTGGAGTAGAAGAGTAGAATCGTGCAATTACAGTAATTGCTTCCTCTTTGGGATGGTGTGTGTGTGTGTGTGTGTGTGTGTGTGGTGGGGGGGGGGGGGGGGGTTAGGGGTAGATGGTGGTGCTCCATAGGATACACAGTGAAATCCAGAATAATTTCAGGTTCCCGAACCCCATTTTTCCACCCTGTACATCTGATTCCGTGAACAATCTTTATACAGGTAGTTTTGTCTGAAAAAAGGCACATAAAATCCCAATACAATTCATAATTAGCAAGTTCGTTTTGTACCGACATTCTGACTTGGATTCTGAACCGAGTCAGGTCGAAGCCTTGATATCAATTAGCTAGGACAGTAGATGAACAAGTTCTCAATCAAAAAGAAAGGAATTTGACCTACTTTAATCCTAGACCAAACATGTCTTTCTCTTTCGTTTGTTAGCGCCTTATTTGTGTAGGGTCGGTTCCTCTCTTTAGAGACAAAAGCCGGCCAAATGGTCTCCTGTGCGAAGTTTACTGGCACGCACGATCGTGCCAGTAAACTTTGCACTCAATATATCCGATGCATTGTAATCAAGATATTCTGAGAACCTGTTAATGGATTACAATCAAACTTGAATTTTAAAAATTGCTTCTGTTTTGGTAAATCGCTCTATGGCGGAGGTATCATTTTCGACTTTGCGCAATCGAACATCCATCTAGTTCTGCTTCTGATCTAGGAGGAGGTATTTATTTGTTTATTCTTAATTCATTATTTTGTTTTTTTCAGGCAAAGAGTGTTTTGGAGGTAACGCATGGCCCACATCATTCACTGATGATGACACCGTTAGTGCAAAAACTGTTCTGTAGATTTAGATAATGCATTGCTAATTGATAATGCATCCCCGAAGGCCACCCCTTCTGTCTTTACCTGCAGATAATACATGTCCAGCAACATGCAGTCACTGATGTCAACATGAATACAAGAATTTCTCTGTAGTACTAGTAAAGGCTTATAGATGATACTGGAAATACTGAAGATGGAAGGACAGAGTGTCAGTGAGAGTGAGATCGAAATGAAACAACAAGAGACTTAACAAGTTTGAGAACCTGGCAAACAATCAATTCGAAATGTAGTCATCGTAGTTTGTAAATCTAGAAATTTGAACACAAGGGCGGCCTGTTTCATAACACTTTTTGTTCATTAACATGTTCCGATCATTGTGATAAGCTACTGAAATCCTTGAAATTGATTGACTGTGAGCAGATTTACCATACATATGTTGCAGTTGTTATTGATAACAAGTTTGATAAAACAGGGCCCACTTCTATTAAAGAGGTGTTATATGGAACTCATTACCTAGTATTTAGCAGAATTAAACGTCTCTTTCTTTCATTTAAACACCTTTTTAAACAATTGCATTTTCATTAATGTACTAAATAACCAGTGACACCATGGATGCATATGTGTTGTGTTTAATTTCCACCAATTTAAATAAAAAATTACTTTTGTGTGCCCTAAGTATAATACGTCACCGGAATGGTATGTCGTGTCTTGTTTCCTACGAGTGTGCTGGGGGGAGATTCTGATTCTAATGGTGAAATAATTAATTACATTTCCGGTGAAGTTAAATTTTGTTAATACTATTTTTCAAATCGTTGGATAACCTCATTTTGTAAATGTATACATTTATATCCATGTCTCTATTCGCTGGTTATTTCATATGTTATTTAATATCCCTGTAATATGTTGTTATCCTGTAGAAATATTTTTAAAGAAATAAGTATGAAAAATGGTATAATATTTTGTCGAGAGGTCGAAGAGAAAATACAATTACATGTAGTGTCATGTACATGCTTCCTCTAACTGGAGAGATAATTGGTCCAAAGTCTATTTAATAGTAATATATTGTCATGTTTGCCTCATTTCATTGATATTTTGTATGTTACCATGTATATACAGGACCAATGTGAAAAACAGCTTTGGCCAACATTGTCATCCTGTATAAATATTTTTAAACAAATAAGTTTGAGAAATGATATAATATTTTGTCGAGAAGTCGAAGAGAAAATACAATTACATGTAGTGGGTACCTGGTAGGAATTTATTCCTTGAAATGCAGCGCGCGTAACAGCTGCACTGCTAAAGCCAGGGTAATTATGCTGCATTATTGTAGAGCGCTTAGAGACTTCTGATAAAGTAAGTGTTAGGCGCTATATGAGCAAATATAATTATTATTATTCTCTAACTGAAGAGATAATTGGTCCAAATTCTATTTAATAATAATATATTGTCATGTTTGCCTCATTTCATAGATATTTTGTATGTTACCGTGTATATACAGGACCAATATGAAAAACAGCTTTGACCAACATTGTCATCCTGTATAAATATTTTTAAACAAATAAGTTTGAGAAATGGTATAATATTTTGTCGAGAAGTCGAAGAGAAAATACATTAACATGTAGTGTCATGTACATGCTTTCCTCTAACTGAAGAGATAATTGGTCCAAAGTCCATTTAATATCCCTGTAATAAACTGTTATGGTTGCCTCATTTCATTGATATTTTGTATGTGACCAATGTGAAAAACAGCTTTGGCCAACATTGTCATCATCTATAAATATTTTTGAATAAATAAGTTTCAGAAATGGTATCATATTTTGTCGAGAAGTCGAAGAGAAATTACATTTACATGTAGTGTCATGTACATGCTTTCCCCTAATTGAAGAGATAATTGGTCCAAAGTCTGACTTCGGAATACATCGTACATGTATTTGTATCCTTTTTGCAGGTATATTTTAAAATAAATTGTAATGCAACTCGAGCTAGAAACGTTTACTAAATGGAACCAACGTTAGGCAGCACTTAGTTCGAATAAATATTACCATGCCTTCATTATGTCTTTTCAAATTATTGCTATTGCTGATATAATGTCTTAATTTCCAAGGAATTTACATGTTTTGTTAATTTCGTTAGTAATGTTAGTAATGTTTGATCTTCTTGGTAATTTAAGTAATGTTAATTCGTTAAGTTATGTTAGAAATATTTTGTTTTCTTGGTAATTTGAGTAATGTTAATTAGTAACATTGATGTTTTGTTTGAAGTAATTTTGATGTGTGTACATGTACAGCGCTTTGAAACTTTTGTCACAAGCGCTATATAAATTTGTCATATTATTATTATTAGTAGTAGTAGTTATAATTATATAATATTGACTGGCCTTGAGGGGTATATCAGAAATATTGACCAAGCTCAGATCATATTGCCCCGAGTCGAAAGACGAGGGCAATATGGTCTTAGCGCGGTCAATATTTCTGATATCCCCCGAAAGTAAAGCCAGTCAATATTTTTATTGTTATCCAAATCAGACATCTAGAGCAAATACAGACATCCACCATGACAATCTCAAGAACTGAACAAACTTTGTCAAACCAACACTGTGCATCCAGTGCTTGACAAAATTTTCGATACACTACAAACAGTGTGTATTTGGTGTGATTATTACGTCACAATAGAGTGCGCGCAAAGTGCGCAGGTTCCCGTACGCATAATATTAATAGATGCGCAATGAAAATGCGAGACCGTGGAAAATACCAAGGTATATTTTCACTCGTCTCTACACGCAAAGTCAATACGCGCAGGGAGACCAAGGAAAATACAAAGAATATACCCCTCCGTTCCCACTGCTAGTGAAAACTAGGGCAATACGGTTTTGTAAATGACCAGCTCAGATGTCTGATACGGGTAATAATTATATAATATTGACTGGCCTTGAGGGGTATA